GGGGGACTCTGCCTGTATTGCCAAGAGTAAGTTATGAAATAGATTAGCTCCATGATTCTTTTTCATCACAAGACCATTAGCTGTGAACGCCAGCCGTGTGCCCTGCGGGTAGGTCTCTGTCTTCCAAGAGCAACTGCATGCTCATGAGAAAAGGCAATTCCAGAAATGTGAGGGGATAAAAATGGACCTCTTCTCCATCTCAGGAACAATTCATACCTAATAATCGCAATGATAGAAACACTGGTAAATGTTATCTAAAATCACCCTCTAACCTTTTGAGATAATGGGTATGAAGTAAGGATCCACATGTCCCATTAAAGAAAGGTAAAGTCTTAATTATCATCAATAAACAGCAATAATATTTAGTATGTTAAGGTAACTACTAAGCTTTTCAGACTTAATGGAGAATTCAACCAAGTGTATGTAGTTGATTTTTTTTTTAAGTTTATTTAAAGGATTTTTTTTTTTTTACAAAAAGAAGCCAACAAGAGAGACCCAGTGAGATTGAGACGTTCCAAGTCTCCATCCACTTTGTTCTTGGATATTTGTAGAGACGATGCTCATCGGGTCCTAGTCTTCATTTTCTCTCTTGCTCGCTTCCCAGGTCTCTTCTGCAGAAAGAGAAGCACACCAGGTCACACAGCAAGTACGGCTTTGGGCCCCAGGGTCCGAATAGACATGCAGGGAAAGAGAGTGGGCAGGCGTGGGGCGAGGAGGAGGCTGAGTCCTGCCCCTCCCTGGGCATCTTTGGCTCACTTACATTCAACCCTTTCTTTCCGGGCTTCTTGGGCCCCTTGCCATGGGCTGTTTTGGCCCGGAAGCTGGACACATCATCATAGCTCTCTCGGGTGTTCCACTTGGAGCCTTTCTTCTTGCCGCCAAAGCCAAACTTCTGGTTTTTATAGCGTCGTTTGGCGCTGGGCCTGGATATGTATGGTACTAAAGGTTACCAGTTATCCACAACACTGCAGATCCTAGTAATAACGTATGCTCTAATGACAACCTCACTGTCTTTTCTGTAAGCAAAGCCCCTCAGGCACTAGTGGTGCCCAAAGTCTCCTCCTTGGCCGTATCTCACCACTCCTGGCCTCACACACTCCCATTTGCTGTTCCTCACACACACGTGCTGCTTCACATCTCTATGCTTTTGTGCATCTGTGTTGTTCCTTCTTGAGACCTGCTTCTCATCTCCCCTACTCTCTGGCTCATTCTTACTCACCCTTCACTCAACTCAGCTAACTCTGTTCCAGGATGCCATCCCCAAACCTGGGCCCCCACAGTCAGGTATTCCCTAACAGAAAATCGGTTGTCATCAAGCCACCTGACTGAAGGTGACTCCACCATCTCTCAGAACAGGATTGTGCTCCCGAAGATTTTTCAATGGCTGCTTGTTCAGCAGATCACCACGCCTTTCTCTTAAGGCACCACGAGATGAACTCTAACCTCCAACCTCCGGAGGCTAGGTACTAGCTGAGCTCAATAACCCCCTGTACAGTCCAGGGACTCCTGGTGCTTCCATATTACTCTCTAAATATCCCTATCAGAGCACACTTACTACACTTACCAATTGCTTATCGACTATCTTGTCCCAACATTTCACGTTTACGGTAGGAGAAAAATCTACTCTCTATTAGTCCCATTAACAATGTACACCTGGCAATGAAAAATGCCCAGGTCGAAGGTGAGATGTGACAGTTAGAGCTAGGTGTGAGCTTGCCCGGGCCCTGGTTCTCAGTGGTTTCACAGTTTCTCCAGTTTTGTATCATGTCAGGTCTGGTGTTAACGATCTAGTCTTTGGATCCACTATGTCAAGAGGTGGCAGTACATTATAGGGACACTACCATGTCCCCAGGCCTGATGTCCAGTGTGCATAAAGGTTGACAAAACTGATTAATGATAAGCAACACTTTTAGTCTTGAAGATATAGGAGGCACGTATTGTTTTCTCATTTTAATTGGTAGGGAAAAGAGCTATTACAAAAGTAACTTGCTCAAAGTGTCTTTAGATATGGCAGAGTCAAGATTTGAATGCTAAGTCAACTTTGACCCTGCGTGTAAAGGATCAACAATTACTGAGCACTCATTTAAAATGTGCCAGACACCAAGTCTCCTTCTTGTAATCCTGAAAGACTGATAGGGCTAAAAGGACCCATGCCGTAGCACGGAGTCCCGTGGCCTCGAGTGAGACTGATCTTTGTGCAGGTATCCTCTGTTCTCGAGAAGACCAGCCGATTCCATATCACCACAAACCCAAACCCTGCTCACCCCTTCTTCATCTGCTGGCCTTTAGCCTTGTCCTTCATGCCCTGCGCAACAGGTTTCTGATCTCCCTCGAGGAAATCCAGTTTATCAGAGAAGCCTGTGGATGGAAAAGTACTGTGATGATCACCACTGCGTCTTAAGAAGATTGTTACATACTAAGAGGCTTTTTAAGTGGAACACCTTGCTCCCCGGTCACTCCCAACCGTAGCCCAGTAGATCCAAAGCATAATGCATCAGCATTCACTTTAAGGGTCCCCTGTTCCCTAAACCCTTAGGAGTGAGAGTACTGACCCTTCTGATATTTCTTAATGGCATTCATCATGTGTTTTTTCTCCCGCTGTCTCTTCTGAAGAACTTCAGTTTGTACCTGTGATGTGGACACCGTACAATTACACACACTGCAAACCACTGCTCCAAGTATCTACATTCCTTCAGTAACAACACTGCGATTAACACCACAATCAACATTAGCTGTGTACCAAACACTAAGTACTCTAAGTATATTCAATGTATCTCAGTCATCACAACCAGAGAACTCAAAACACCTATTAGCCCCTAAAAGGAAGTACAGAGAAAATTAAATAACTAGACCAAGTCCCACAGCAGGCAAGCACCAAGCAGAGACTCGCGCTCAGGCAGTCTGAGTCCAGAGCCTGCATTTCCAGGCCACTATTCCACATCCATTCACCAACCGTAGCACATCATGTGTAGGTTTCCCTATTGATCTGGGCAGATTACACAGTAGTAGAAAAGTACCGAAACATGAGAGGAAAACTAAACAACCTCACCCATAAACAACCAAGAAAAAATACATATATATTATGATTAACATTGTATTTTTCAACACAGCAGTATTCACATTTTGAACAGGATAACTCTGGGTTGTTGGAGCCTCTTTTGTGTGTTGTATGATATTTAGCAGCATCCCTGGCTTCCACCCATGAGATGCCCGTAGCATCCGCCCTCCCCTGGCTGTGATACCTAACAATGTCTCCAGACAGTATTTGAGAGCCAGCGTTTCCTCGCACTAGAAATAGTGAACTCACAGACTACCGTGTGCTTTCCTGTAGTTGTTGCTGTCGAGTCAGTTCTGTGCGGAACCACATCAGACCGAGCAAGGCAAAGGAGCTGACAAACCCCACCCCCCCCTGCACAATGCCCTTCTTACCTTCTTTCCGTACTTCCTAAGCGCTCGCAGTTGCTTAGCCTTTTCAGACTTCTCCATGGCAGCCTGCTTAGTCTGCAACTTCTGTCGAATCTGAAATGTAAAATGTTGCCAGCTTACGTCATTTCAATCTGAGATGACTGCTCCACAAGGCAACCAGAGGAGGGAAACAGATGTCCCCAGCTCTACACCAGTCATCTGCAGAAGAACCTTGTGTACCGTCGAGTCCATACATTTGATACATGACGATAATGAGGCCCAAAAGCTTAATACCTTGTGCCAGATACTCAGTGTCAGCGGCAGAGCCAGCGCTTAAAAGCAACCCCTCACGCCCACTCGGTATTTGTTCCAGGACACAAGACTGCCGCCTTACACTCGAGGAAAGACTAGCTTGGCCTCATCCCTACTGCCTCCTGGCTGCAACCAGGCCAACGTGCAGCCTCACAGATCCCTTCTTCCACAGACCACACACGATGAAGAAAACACAAAGTTACCAAGGGACCTAGCCTATCCCCACAAACATTTAAAGGATGCGAAGTTAGTTGTGGTGTGAACATAGAAGTCACGTCTGAGCTCATCTCTAGACTAGCTTTCTTGAGTACCAAAAGATAAAAGCTCATTAAAACACAATTAAATAGGAAGCTACATCAATGTACCTGAGATGAACCAAAAAAAAAAAAGGCTCACTGCCACTTAGTGATTCTGACTCATAGCAAGCTTATATTGAGTTTCCAAAGCTTTGTTAATCTTCACAGGTACAGATAGCCTCATCTTTCTCAGGATGAGCGACTGGTAGGTGTGAACCACCAACCTTGTGGTTAGAAGTCCAAAGCTTACCCAATAGCATCACCAGGACTCCTTTCTTCCTCCCAGAGTTAAATGAATAACAAGTTCTGCTTGACTTTAAAATATTTTGTGTCTGAGAGATGCAGACTTTTAACGATTAAACCCCACTTTGCAGACGTGCTAACTGAGTCCCAGAGAGGACTAACTTGTCAACAGGTTCTAGGACTGCTCACAGGCAACAGCCATCAAAACATCAGCAGGGAAACACAAAGGGCCATTCCTGTACCCCAGGGAATCACATTCCTTACCGCAGTCCACAGCTTTGGTGTTTGAATTAGGAAGGAAAAAAATCATCCCTGCTTTGAACCCATTGGTGGTGACAGCATGAAAAAAATGGACAATCTCAGGAAGAAATAAGAATTGTCCCCTGGACAAGTAAAAGGAAATAGAGGAAAGAGCTAGGAGGCAAAGGGCATTTAGAGGTCTAAATAAAGGCATACACACATGTAAATATATTTATATATGAGGATGGGGAAATAGATCTATGTGCATATATTTATTGGTTTAGTATTAAGGTAGCAGATGGACATTGGGCCTCCACTCAAGTACTCCC